GCTAAATATTGTGGCTGAGACATGAGCCGATTAAACGTAGAAATAGGAAACCTAGAAATATAGTAAAAACGCTGAATAGTACTCCAGCGTCGCGACATGCCGACGTTGGTACGAGTAGGGTAAGTCTACAAACGTCGCCTTTTTTGATTTTACGCGGCAGAACGAATGAAGGAAACTCCGCTTTTCAGTTGTCTCAGGCGATTGATTTTTGACAAACAATGACCTTTCAGAGGTCAAATTGCTGTCAAGAATATGAATTACGGTATGTGAAGTTAAATTGAAACTAATTAGTTTAATGCAACATGTTGTTTGTTTCAGGTTCTCTTCCGGTTATTTTCTAATATCCTGATTATTGGTAATCAATAAAGAAGCCAACTTGACAAGGTGCTTTATGGCTTTTAATGGTGTCAATCTTTTTATGGTGTCAATCCAAACAATTCGATCATCGATTATTTTTCAGGTAAATGTAAATCTGCAATCAATAATTCACCACTATTCTTCTAACCATGAAACTGGGAATGCAGAAAACCTTTGAACTATATTATGCCCTATGACCCCAGAAAAATGCAGCAACAGTCTGCTGGCATATGTTGTTCAATGCCACATGTTCACTAAATGTACAGTACATTCACCAACACTGATTTTTAAATTTTTGGTTTAACACAGGGGTGCCGCCAACGCCAGGGCACAGAATTCACCTGGGAGAAAAACAAATTATAATGTATTTTGGGGGGGGGACGACTGAGGGGGCCCAAGTTTTTTTGGGGGTATGTGTCCCTGTACACCCTCCTAGATACGCCATTGGGTATGGGTGAATTCTAAACTTAGCACTGTATCAGTGACTTGCATATCACAGGGCACAGAATTCGTCTGGGAGAAAAACAAATTATAATGTATTAATCTACATTAGTAAACTCTAATATTGATTAAATAAGCCTTTGAAACACTAAATTTTCCTATTTTTCGCCCCCTGGATCACTTTTCAAAATTTTGAACCATGCCTTACCACGCCCAATTTTGCTTTTGCTCTCGTTGGGGACATCCCCCCCCCCTTTTCGGGACCTCGGTTTAACATATACTTCTATTATTATTATAATGCTAAATATCATTAATCCAACAATTAATAATTTTCAGCAACACAATTAGTTCTTTTCAGAACTATCTACGGGCTGTACCGAAAGCATTTAGTATATTATTTCGCCATGCAAACCTTCAAATAATAAATAAATTACCATTGAATTTCAATAAAAGTTACCTGAAAACATAATCATGGGCATCAATTTCTGGGCCCTTGCCAGCTCCCTTCAGCACCCCACCGCATCCCACCACAGCACAGCGAATACATGTCTTTTTTGTTAGGGTTCCATAAGCAGTTGAAGAGTTATAGCTTGGGTGGTTCAACAATTCTCCAAATACTGAAAAGAAATTGGCAAACATCTAAATAAATGTTAATTTGTTAAAAGGTCAGATCACTCAATGTTCATTCATTGTTTTAATTTCTTAGTACAGTATATTTTCTTTGTTTTTTTTTTTTTGTCCCACATCCTTTCAATTTTGTGGATCTGCATACTATTTGTACTTGGGCACCAATATGTACTATACTTTAGAATTACAGTATATCAATTTGTTCATTGATATCTATTCTGAAGGGTCTACTTATGTACTTCTCCTTATATTGTATATTTCTATGTTAATGTTATAATGTGTACATGCAATTCACAATGAAATTCATATAATTTACAATTCAGTCTCTGGATGTTTTTTTTTAAATATATTCTTGATCATTTTGTAGTTCACTGTTTTCTTGATGTTTGTTGAATAAAGACAAATAACGCAATATTGTCCATCCATGACATATAATATGCCACTTGATTGTTTAAAGTTCAACAACTTTACCATTTAATGGAATCAAAGTCCATGATCTATAATTAGTTCCATTATTAATGCAGATGGGATTGAAACACCTTTATGACCCTTTAGGACCAAAAAAGTGTCCAGTTAACAGGGGTTTTTTCCTGAAATAGAGGATGGACTTCCTTTATATTTGTATTGCTGCTATTTAATTAAATTTTATAATTTGGTAATAAGTGGTCCATCAAATAAATTTGGGTAAAATATTCAGTCTTTCGCCAATAGAACGGTCAAGAAGGTATGGGCAGTGACGTACTGTATCTAGGAGTCTTGAAATGGGTGGGGTGCGAGGGTCAAGTTGGGGGCACTACGACCATGATTTTGGGGGGACAACTGAGGGGGCCAAAGTTTTTAGGGAGGTATGTGTCCCTGTGCACCCTCCTAGATACGCCACTGGGTATGGGTGAAGTCTAAACTTTGCATTGTGATTTGCATCGTTAATCATTAAAGCATCAATTAAATTAATATTTACATAATTTTGAATGATGACCTACATGTTCTATTTTCTCCTCTGAAACCAAACGGCAGACGATAATGAGAGAGCTTGTGGTAGCTTTCAAATATGTTTACATCTTCCTTGGACAGGAACATTTTGACGTTGGGAATGTAGCGTTCACGAAACCATGGCGAAATCTCTGTCTTGTGGCTGAATGAATTTGGACACTCCTATATTAGGTCATGTCATGAGAAAAAAGCAGTTAAAAAGTGTATAAATTAATATAAATATATATAATTAATCATAACAATACTATATAAAGTAACTGAAGAAAGGGGAAGCTCACTAGCAAGCCAAGCACCAGCCCTACCCAATATGGTGCCGTGTAAAATATTGTTATTCTTCTTAAACAATTTCATTAGTAAACAAATTTCACAACAAAATAATATCTATGATGTGATCACATGTTGATTTAAGAAAGCGAACTAGACATCAGAAATTGAACAAAATGTCAAATAAATTAAAAGAGAATAAAGCACTGGAGCATGATGCCGAACTATTGAATTTTACCTAACTTTTTGTCATATTATTGATGATGATATTGTTTGTGATGCTGAAACTGTTGTTAACGAAAAGAAGAATTTTCTAACACACAGCGAGGAGGTGAGGTGTAGTAAATCTGATTCATGAAACAGATATTGTGACCTAGATAATTGGAACCCAATTACTCTACTTAACTCCGATTATGAGGCTGCTACATTTATACTTACAAGAAGATTGCTACTACTATTTGGTCAACTGTTAATATTTATTAACGACCAAAAAGTCTATGTAAAGGGTTGGTTTGGGGAAGACTACAATTAATATAATCAATTACATGATATTGAACACCTACTGTAGAAGGGCCAATAGTAAGCCTTGATTTTTAGTAAGGCCTTTGACAGGTAATTTCTAATAAGCATACATAAATTTAAATTTATTAAATGGGAAAAAACAATATACTGTAATATAAAAATACAGATCTCTTCACCAATGTGGCAGGTATCAAAAAGCTTAACTAGGAATATAGGTTTAAGGCAAGAGTGCCAATTACAGGCACATCAACAATTCTAATAAAGATGTTGAAAAGAGTTTTTTTTTTTAATTTAGATATACAAAAAGGATTATATAAAATAGGGATACTGTACTACTAAAACTATGTATATTATGTATGAGGCTATGATGTACTGGGCCGGGTCCAGATATTTGCAGGAGGTGGTGCAGAAGAAAAAACTCTTGTATAAATAGCATAAGTTTAAATGACTTGGAGAACCGTCTTCTGTGTTTTAACCCTCCCATCCTTTCACAGACTTAAAGCCAACAATATTATGTAAGACTGAAAATTATTCTCATAAATGATCCCACCCAGCCCTATACATACAACCAACACCTGTACCTTTGTTTGCCAGCTAAAAAGCACTCTAACATGTTAAGGGTGGCGGGGATGTCAACTACCATCACCCCATGTATCCGCCCAGGAATATCATTTAAATAATCATTCTCTGAAGCCCAGTCAGCCAAATACTGGAAGTATTGCCATATATAACAGAATACTTAGAAGCTTACTATTGAATACTGCTACATCAAGTGAAAGTTAAATTACCTTTTTTTTTTTTTTAATAAAGAAGGAACATGAGCCAATAATAATTTGGTTTATATTATGTTAAAGCAGGTAAGATAGGCCTACTGGTAAAGAATATGGTAAAAAAGGATTATACAATACATGCTAAAATGTTGTGATGGATGTAACATGGTAACTTCATAATACATTTTATTCCATTATATTTAGTGAACATACGCGTTTGTGTCAGCTGCACTCACTGAAGTGGTACGTTCCACCCTACTACATACTGAATACTCTGTTGCTCCTTTCACTGTATGTAATTTAAATAATGAAATCTCACACGTGTGGCTTTTGAAGTGTGACAAGTGCTCGTCCAATATTTTGTAGATTTGTGTTATTATAAAATTATTTATTTACGCTATTTTAATGGACGTATATAGGAACTCAAAATATGCAAATAATGGTGAGAAATTTAAAAGAATGGTGCTATGATACATTTCTGAAAGAGCTGTGCACGTGTCTGGACGGTAAATCGTCACAAACATGTTGTCCTTACTCAAGGACTGTAGGTTTTGAAATAACACTAAAAGCTTCCAAATATTACAAAATCAATAGTGTTTATTAAGATTTGTATTTCAAATATAATATTAATATATACTATATATAAGTACAGTACTGTATATATACTTTTCAATTAGGTTTAGTGACTGATATTTTACAGAAATGTTCTTCAATTAAAAATTCTGATTCGCGAACATTTTGGGTGCTTGTTGGGAATTAGTAGATAATGCGATTAATGGAGGGTTTGCCAGAGCCGATTATGTTAGAAATCCTTATTGATTCAGCCACGTTAGCCATTGTTCTAGCATAGTTGATGCTACAAATGTCATTGTACTGTAGAAACAATATAAGTGCCACATGTTCCTATGGGCTGTCTGTCATTCAGGCAGTCACATGTTCAGTAGTGCCAACAGATAGAAGGCTTTGTACTAGAGGTCTTCATTCAAATTGAAATCAAATATACTGTACATGGTATATATTAATAATAAATATTCAACTATACATTAAAAATAACAATACTATAAATATAATAATAATAATTAATAATAATGATAATAAAAATTAAATAATATTAACACAATATAAAGTATTAGTATATTTAACCACTCTGCTTCTGTATATTCTTCCATATAAGGTGATTCGTGTATAAGATGACCCCAAAGTTTGAGAACATTTTTGGACGATTTTTCTATGTCAGACATGAAAGAGGACCCCTGTTTCACCTTCGAAATTGCTAATCTTTGCTGCTCTTTATGGTCTTAATACTGCATCTAGCTGGCTAAAAATGGAGCCAAATGTAGAGTTAATCTTCCAAATAATACCATTTTATGGGCTTTTAAATATTCATCTAAATCTAATTTCTCCGCATTAAAAAAATTGTGTTCATTCTTACAGTTAGTAGCTTGAAAATTTGCAAGTTAAGGACGAGCCAGACTTAAGACGAACATGATTTAATTGATAATAAAAAATGTTGCGCATATAAGACGATCCCGTGTTTTGATCGTAATTTGCTATTTTAAGCCTCGTCTTTTTACGCGTTGTTTAAGTTAAGTGTAGCCTTAACTCAAGCAATATTATTTTGCATTAAAATACCAAATATAGAACATTCCTTTATTATTGTACAGAAGTGTAGTACAAATGTAAAGATCTCACTCACCGAAGCTTGATAATTTTTCTCTCGTATGTATGGCAAATCATTGGGTTTAACATGTTGGATCTTTGGTGTGTTGGGCGGTGGCCTCTCCAACAGCTCACTGATACTAAGCACCTTTGCATCTGCTACTGCATCTAGATTTTTCTGTGTCACAATCTTACCAGGCTTTACTTTATCAGATTTGTTCGCAGCCAGTACCAGTTTATCTGAATCTCTTAAGTATAACATCTTTACAATATTCTCTAATGTTTTCTCTGCAGGGACATCATTGCCTAAATATTCATTTATTAAATCTCTAATAACTACAATTTGTTCCTCTGGATGCTGATGTCCTTCTCCTGCGAAGTTAGACGGCAAGCCGAGAATACCTTGAATTTTTTTAATTCTATCTAAATCGCTCAACTCTACATTTTGTTGTTTGATGCCAGGTTCTGTGAATCTTTTTATACCAGACTTGTGTGCTTCCACATTTCGGTCGACATATCTGATGGAGAAAATATTTTTATATCTTGCATCAAAAATAATTACAAGTATTACTGTACAAAAAAAAAGACCCCTTAAAAATATATAAATTACATACATAACACAGACTTAGAACGTCCGACCTAGAGTATATTTACATTAGACTAAGACGTGCGCAATCTATGTCTATAAATGAAATATCTTTGTGATAGCTAATTCAACACTATTCCTTTGAAGACAAAATTCCAACATTCAAACACCTTTAAATGCCCTCTAAAGATCATAACTTTCTATTTTTTCCCCTTATGTTTGGGAGGAGGCGTGGCCCAGAGTGGGCGCTGACCCACACATCGGCTCAGGGCCACACCCAATGGCTTCCATTTTGGACGGCTTATTTCGTTTTTCTGGCTAAATACCTGACGACATCACATTCAAGATCTATCATAAAAATATTTTTTAAAATGGTTTCTTACATATATTTACTAGAAGAGTTTGAAGAACTGATAAAATTAAACAACAACATGATCATGATGCATACGAACACCATTAACAAAAGCAAAAGACGATTGAAGCTGACACGAAACATGATAATGGGTCACTGTCACAAGACTTCATCAATTCGCATTTGAATCTAGAAATAAATTTTTAAAAAAAAACAATTTTGATTAGAATCATTTCAAAATATAATTATAATTGAAATTTTCAGATTGCAGTTACACCAATTTTCATTCATTCATTCATTCATTCTTTAAGCCTTATAAAAATCACAATACAATTTGTACAGTAAAATAAAACTAAAAATTCAAAATACAGATTAAAACTGTAAATCTAAGCAGGCAGGGATTTTTATTAAGGACTGTGTCACAGGCAAAGGAAAGGACATTTTTAAGTATCTGCATAAAATAAGTAAAAAAAGCCCCAAAACTTTAACATTGAGACAGTATAACATAATATACAGTATGTCTGTTATTTGAAGTACAGTAAAAGCAAGTAAATTAGCTTCCAATTGAAAAGTTAATAGAACAAATATTAGAGCTTAATGTACTATAAATGCAACACAGATGTAAGATATTGATCCTACTGTAGATTTGCCGACTCGAAAAGTGGGAGCTATTGTGTTTAAGCAAACAATATGTTTACTTCATGAAACAGACGTTACTTATAATAATCAATAATTATAATTACAGTAGCTACATCTTTGGAAATGGTTTAAATTTAAAGTCAATAGATAGCAACAACAGATTGTACATAAAAAACAGAAAATTTTCCAATGTACAGCAATTTGTAAGGCAATAATATTTCCAAAAAAAGGATAAATAATTTTTTAAGGTCAGACCCTGAAACTAAAATTACTTATCTATGCTTTTTCGCGCCGCACCTTTAGGCTGTAATGATCAAGAGGAAATAGTCATTAAGAAACTGTAGGTAGCGGTAGCTTTTACCATGAAGAAATGGGAATTCCGAACTAAGCAATGCACATGCGCAGTTACCAAATAACGTCCGTGAATTAAAAAAACAAAACACAGTGAGCATGCTCTTGGAAGTAAGTGACGTTATCAAGCCATGTCGAGCATGCGCAGTTACCAAAAAGAGAGTTAAGAAGCAAATAGCGGCTGCGAAGAGGGTATGATTACCAAAAGATTGTCCAGGAACCAAACAGCGGCAGCGAAGAGGGTATGAAATAAAAACGGGAAAACATATGGATGGAATAATGAGAAACTCGAGTGGGTTGAAAGCCTCTGCATTTGGATATCTTTACAGCCAGTTTATCAGTGTTCGTCAGGGGGAATTGTAATTAAATTATCGCAAAAATATATACTTGGCTCTCGTCGTACCTACGTACGTAGACCTATGCATTGACTATCCCATAAAAAATAACAACAGAAATTGACGACACAACCTAGGGCCTAGGCCTACTCCTTCACTACTAGCCAAGTAGTAGAGCCAGGGTATTCCGCATTTAATGTCGAAAAATTTGTGCCTAATACGCTGAAGAGGGTTAGGATTAAGCTAACTATTATCGAGATATCGTATGGTACTCGTGTTTTATCGACCCATATAAAATAGCCACACACTGGCGGTAGTAGTAGAAATGCCTAGCCAAGCTATAGAGGGGGAGGGGAATGAATACAAATAAATAAAATAATATTAAAATTAATATTATTATTATTACAATAATGGTAAAAATGTGGTTTGGCTCAGTGGTTTTCATTCTGGTTGTTGAACTTGTAGGCAGCAGGAATACAAACAAATACAAACAGCAACAGACCCCATGGATGACAAAACGAACAAGTGAAAAAACAACGTAAACTAGATTAAGAGATGAGATCGAATAATTATTAGGGAAGAGTGAAATGGCGCAACATAGTAAGAGAAAAAGATTGATTTGGCGTCGACATCCTGAAACATGCTGTCTAGCAGTGGACCGACAATAGCTGATGATGAAGCCCTCTGAAGGTTATGAACGTGGTCAAGGCTTGAGTCTAGGTGACAGCTTAATTAATCTACCATATGGGATTACAACCCAGATAAAGTGGGGTTGATATAACAAAATAATGTATGTTTGTAAAGTTTTAAATTAATTTAGGAATTTAAAGTTAAGAATATTGTTCCATTTATTAAGAAACATGTATAAAAAGATCTCAAATGAGTCTTAATTAATGTTCGTCAATGTTTCTCAAACCTGCTTATTTCAGCATAAGCCCTGTGATATTTGCTATTGTCAATATGTATGTTGTTAAATAAATAAACAATTAATATCAAAATAGTGATGTTATAAATGCTTACCCAAACTTGATCACCATGACAAAAGCATGGATAATCTATGTTTGTAAAGTTTTAAATAAATTTAGGAAGTTTAAGGATAAGAATATTGTTCTAATTATTAAAAAAACATAAAGGTATAAAAGATCTCACATGGATATTAATTGATGTCTATCAATGTTTCTCAAACCTGCTTTATTGTTCAGCAAAATATACCAGTACATGCCCTATAATATTTGCCATTGTCAATATGTTTAAAAACATTAACAGGTATTAGCAAATAAATTATTACATTATAAAATATATATGTATAAGTGTGTATTTATGAATATGTTTGTGATCATATGGCAAATGTTTTCCGCAGTGATACATTTCAGTCTACACCACAACTCTATCTGGAACACCCCCGCTTCTTCCAAATAAAGAAATTTGTTTAAATTTATTCAAAGATCTCTACTCAGGTACTGCACAACACCCTACATATCAAAAAAAAAAAAAAAAAAAAAAAAAAAAATACCATACCTTCAATAATGTAAACTCTACAATATTTATTGTTCTATAGGAATTTTTTTTAGATTTATTAATTGAAACAAATTTTTTATAACTACTAGTGTACTGTATTATGGAAACATGTTTACTTAATAAGACAGATGTTACTTAGTAATCAATAATTACCGTTACCTACATGTTTGCAATTGGTTTAAACTAATTCAATCTATTCTAGCAACACACTGTACATCAAAAACGTAAAATTTTCCAATGTAGTTTCTAACTGTATTTTCTCAACTACAACAGTTTTTTTCAGAACTACTTTTCAGCAAGTTTCAACATGTAATTTGTTAAGTAATACATTTCCAAAAAAAGGAAGAATAATTTTTTAAGGTCAGATCCTGAGACTAAAAATACTTATCTATGTCAAAAGCAAGAATAATTTTTTTAAGGTCAGATCCTGAGACTAAAAATACTTTTCTATGTCTTTTTTATATAATGTGTACTGTATTATGGAAACATGATACTTACTGTAATGAAACAGATGTTACTTAATAATCAATAATTACAACTAGCTACATGTTTGGAAATGGTTTAAACAAGTCAATCTATTCTAGCAACAGACGATTTTTTTATGTAGTATTTGTTTCTACTGTATTTTAGCACTTTATTTTATCGAGCCTTGAGGTAGTTTTAATGTTCAGTATACGTAAGGATGTAACATGGGAGCTGCTCTGTACCTCGGTACCGCTCTGTGCCTAGGCCTAAATTTCTAGAAAAATCTCAACATTTTGGACCAGTATCTTTTGAAGCATTAGCAAACCAAAATGGCATTATTCTTGAGTTCAATTATAGAGTTGATGATGAATAAGACTATAATTGAGTTCAATTATAGTCTTATTCATCATCAACTCTGCTTACAGCTCAAACACTACCAAAATGCCATGCAGTTTGCCGAGCATAGTGTCTCTGGCGCTCTCTGTTTACAATGTATTATAGTATTACTATATTAGGCCTAGGTAACATCCTGCTTTTCTTTCCTCCATCCTCAGAGTCACCGATTGTGTATCTTTGTATAACTTGTGCTAAACTGGATTGTTATGTAGTTTTATTGTAAATATAAGTCAATCAGAATACAGTACTGCGCCCCTTTTCATCTTTTTGTTTTCCCACTGTAGGCATACGTCTACTCTGATTGGCTAGATAAAAAAATGCACGTCCGCAATAGCTTAGGAATCATTCTTTCCGCCAAAATCTATTGCGGACCTAATGTCCGATTGTGGTGCGCACTGCAAAGTGAAACTTTACTGAATTTCTGTGGACCGATTTTGGATTATGTGGACTACTTTTGGCAGGTAATTATGAGGCAAAAATCAGTCTGGCGGACCAATTTTGGAACCAGATCAAATTTTTCCTGACAGGCCCATGCACTTTATCATTCATGGACTCAGGGTACAATGCAATATTAAATGCTTTTTGAAATAATGAATATAAACCTATAAGGCTACTGTCTGTTTAATGTTTTTCAGTTTTTATGCATTATCAGAGACTACTTCTATCTGCTAACACCATCAATACTGTACATGATCCAACACTTCACAACAACAGACTATGTTTTATGTAGTTTTATTGTTAATACCTGTAATATAAAGTCAATCAGATTACAGTACTCTGCCCCTTCAGGCATGAGGGAATTTCACAGATTTTCACTTGTCCCCAGACAAGTACCCTTGAAAAATGCACTTGTCCTGAAGACAATTTTACTTGTCCTAATATTATCGTGCAATAATCATAAAAAATAACACAAAAGTAAAGTATTTTTGCTAAAGGCCCTACAACATTAATAGGCCAATAATGCATACTGTTTTGATCACGCAAAAATGTTTTTCTTTCTTTTTTTAATTTGCAAGAATTTCAATAATGTATAATATGGAGAATTTCAATAAAATAAACATTATTAATAGTATTCTATGTATGTAGGAATGTGTTGATTGTTTTCTTATTGCGTGTTTAAAAGCCGTCGTCACGACAACTGCAAGTAAACATTTCTCATGCATGGTTGATTCCTATGATACACGAGTTCTCAGCCGAAGGCTGACAGGACTGTGTTTTATGACGGTATTTGGAGAAAGGGGAGGGGGTGGCCATATCGTATGTTTGTACCCATTTGCAGATCTTAATCAATTCTAATACTAACTTTTTTTTTTTCTTGAGGAGGATACAAATTCAAATTGCACAGAAAAACATCTAGAAAAATAGATGCGCAGAATCGTAAATACTTGTGTTCCTACTATGAAGGCCTCAATTTTCTGCACAATATCTGTAGAAATCGGCTCATATTTTCGAAATGCGGCGACGAATTTCTGGGCCTAATATTTT